GAAGCCCCGTCTCCGGAGCCCTGCCCCCACATCTCCGCCCAGCTGCAGCCCAGCCAGCTCGGTAAGAGGAGAAGGCTACTCTGAGGACTAGCCTGCGGTTTTCATTTGATCCAAAAATGGATCCAAAGCTCTGGTAATCTCATCCTCTCCTTCCAAAGAAGGGAGAGGTCAGGTCCTCAGGCCGGGAACGCCCACATAAGTCACCACAGCAGGCCTGTGGGAGGGCCCTGGAAGCCACTGGGTAAGGGAGCACCCACAAAAGCAGGCCTAGAATTTTGTGTCAGAAAATTACTTTCTTAATACTTTAAAAAAAAATCATTGTTTTTCATTCTTATTTCTCTGCCTATTTTTCCTTTCAGTTTTCTTGAAACGGTTTCTTTTCTTTGCCTTTTGTTTTAGTTTACTGAGATAAAGTCCCACTTTGTATGTAGCCCAGGCATCATAGTGATTTCCAGGCCAGCCAGCTCTACATGGAGATATCCTGTGTCAAATAAATAAACTGAATAAATAGTGCATGGGATATGTCCCTTAATCCCAGCACTTGTGAGGTAGAGGCCAGCCTGGTCACCATAGCCAATTCCAGGACAGCCAGGCTTATATAATTAGACAGACCCTGCCTCAAAAACAAAAGAAAACTACAACAACAAAAAAGAGTTGAATAAATACATAAAGCCAGGTATGGTGGTAGATGCCTGTCTGTACTGAGCACTAGAGAGGCCAGTGCTGGGGACCTCTAAGTTTAAGGTCAGCCTGGGCTATACAGGAAGACTCGCTCTCAAAACAACAGCAACAAAATTTAAATAATTATATTTAAGTAAAAGCTAGTGAGATTGGCTTAGCAGGCAAAGGCACTGCCATGTAAGCCTGGGGACCTGAGTTCAATCCCTAGGACCCACATAGAGGTGGACGGAGAGAACTGACTCCACAAAGTTGCTCTCGGGGTTGCGCGGGTGCGCGCGCACACACACATAACTAAAGTGATAAACACTACAAATTATGCTCCAGTTTTTTTCCTGCATTATATTAGCATCTATGCCCTTGTTATTATATCTGAATATTACATGACCTAATAACTAAGCACAATGGCATCACACCGGTAGCCTGAAATCCCACACGGTAGATGCTCATTGTGACTCAAGTGCTAGAGATTTTAATAGGATTAAACTTAAAAGTGTATCATATCTGGACTCGATGGCACAGCTATTAAGAGCACTTGCTGCTCTTCCAGAGGATCTAGGATCTGATTCTTGGAACCCAGGTGGAGCCTCCCAACCATCTGTAATCTCAGGCCAGTGCACCTGGCGCCCTCTTCTGGCCATAATAGGCACTGCATGTATGCGATACACAGGCAAAAAGTCCATTTACATAAAAGGAAAAGTGCATCCTGTCTGTGCTGCTGTATTGTGACTAGCCCAGACGTTTCAGGAACTATTCTCCTAGCATTTGAAAGCTGTCACCTGATTTAGAAGTCACTCATGTCGTTGATGAATGTGCCAGTTCCACCCGAAGTCTTCAAGGCTTCCTTTTATCTGATACATTAACATTTAAGGAGATATTATTCAACATTTATGTCATAGCCATACTCATTCACCATTTGCAGCCAGGCACAGTTCCAAGAGCTCAGCAAAAATCAACAAGTTCCTTCAGGGAGAGTGAATTGGCTCTGTGGAATTTACAACAGAGAATGTTGCATATTTCATTATTACTTCTAAAACTGAGGGCTATACATCCTGTATAATGGCAACATTTATAATACAGTTGTGTATATATGTCTATGTATTTTCCCCTACAGAGCCCACAGTTAAGCATTTCATTTTATCTGATGCATTAACATTTAAGATTGTATTATTAGACATTATGTCAGAATTATACTCATTCACCAGGCACTGTTTGCTGCATGCCATCCGTCTTCCTGGACGTTTACATCCACGGAGCACAGCTCATACCCTCCAAAGCAGTGAGCCCTTTAGTTGTTTAATTTGCTGTGAGATATGGGTGACAGGAGCAAAGCACTGAGGGGCCAGAAGCTCCATGTCCTCATGTGGACACTGTTAGTCACCTGCTATCTGCTGCTGAATGCTCAGCTCACCTGGTATTGACAGTCATGACACCGCATGGCATGAGCAATAGAGGAAGGCCTTTCTGGCTCTCAGATGTCATCGTGAATGCGTAAGGAATAATCTGCAGTGCCGAATGCATGGCAGCAGTGTTTGACAGCAAGATACGCCCATCTGAGGACCCCATACCTACATATGGATTTGCAATGTCATTGGACGTGCAGGAGGATCTGAAACATTGTTTCGTGACTATGCTCTCAGGAGCGGCTTCACAGCTTGCAGGCAGCCAGGAGAACCAATGCCATTCTAGCCCTGTCACTTTGAGATGATATAACATGATTCTTCCTGTTGTCATGGCAGTGAATAAGATGTAGTAACTACGCTCCTCAGTCCTGATGTCCTGATGTCCTGATGTCCTGATGTCTGTCCCCAGCCCCTGCCCCACTCCTTGGTATGCAGCATCTCCTGCTCCATGCTGCTCTTCAGCCCTGAACTCTCCCGGAGACCAGGACACGACTCTTCCACTGACTTCACAAGCTAAGTGGAGCCCACAGTGAACTGACTGACACCTAATAGGAATTGCTTTAGAGCAGACAGCACCTTTGAAGCCTCCTCGGTGTTGTCAGGAAATGGTTAATCAGGGAAGGCCTTGAACCGGGGCTGATTAATTATACTGCACAGGAAGTACAGGCCTCTGTCACTGCTCAATGGGGAAATCCATTTTCAATTCTGACTTCAATACGGAAGTTGGTCTTCCTGCTAAAAGCGTATATGATCCATTACTGCAGAGCCCAAAGGGCCACAGGCAGAGAGAAAGCACCCTGGCTGATGACACTTGGCCTAGGATGGAGCAGGCATCCTGATGGAGGTGAGCTGTTACTTGGTTTGGGGAGATAGCTCTAACCAGGTGCCCACTGAGATGCAGAGTAGGGCCAAAAACAAGAGCTTGCTCCCTGGGGTGGAGCAGGACCGGTGGACATAGAGCCTGGGAGAGCCCAAACCAGGCATGGTGGCCATTTGGGAGGCTGAGGGTGGGAGGATGGCAAGTTCAAAGCCTGCCTGAGGCTGGCTTGGACCATTTAGCAAAAATGTCTCACAAATAAATAAATAAACAAACAAACATAAAAGGAGGCAGGGACACAACTTGGTGGTAGAGCATTTGCCTGCTGTGCCTGGGGAGGTTGGGGGTGGGGTGGATAAGAACAACATAGGAGGATCCAGACACACCAGCCCACACACCTGTAGTGTCACCAGCTAGGAGCACAAGAATGGAAGGTGCCCTGCAATTGTCCAGTGGGCATTTTTTCATTATAGTCTATTTTTATTTTGAGATATGATTTAAAAAGCCACATGCATCATTTCTACTCCTTTTTTTAAAAAAAAAAAAACCTTTGTAAAGTCATAAGTTGAAAAACCCCTCTGAAAATGGTTGCAGATTGATAACTGGCCCAGGAAGATCCTGAAATTGGTCTGGTCAAACTTGGAATCTGATGCCTGCAGTGAGTTCTTCAGCAAGTCTGCTTCCTCCTAATTATGAGACACGTGTTCACATGTTCTTCCCTGATCCTACTAGGGCGTAGAAAGCCCCACGGCATTTGCATGTGAACAGGTTACCAAGCTGATGAAGAACTTCATCCTAGGGCATGAAGGCAGCTGTAGAGCCGCCATTCTCAAGGAGTTACCATGGAGACATGGAGGAAAGATGCTGCCAGGAAGATGTCTGAGGCAGAGACAAAGAGATTGGGAAATACCTTCTCCCAAGCCTCCAATTGGCTGAGCTCAAGTCACCTGTCACACAGTGGGGAAAGATGAGCTACAGATCTGAGGTCACACAGCTCCAGAAGCAGCACATTCTTTCTTGATCCCAGAAGTAACCAAAGGTAGTTACTAGACTCTACATATCACTGATGGAGGCAAAACTCTTGAAGATATTACAGACCTATAGAGCCAATGGCATACAGCGGTAAATGGTGGGACTGACACAAGAACTTAGCTTTTCCATCTGTGCACTCCACTCTGTTCATTCTCCTGACTTGGCCCCACTGTGATGCAGAGGCCAGGGACATCGACTGAGACAACACGGCTCTTCCAAGCTGGTTCATGGTAGATGTCTTTAACCTCCTGTTCCTTCCTGTGCCAGGAACCAGTCAGGGTACCACATGGTGTTCTGGCTCCAGAGGCTATTATCATGGGCCAGGACCACCAGGCACAGAGGTGGGCTTGTGGAAGGTCCACCCCAACCTCCCCAGCCTTCATCAGAGCCTCTGAATGCCCTTCAGAAGGATGGAACAATGGGCCAACATGTGGGCCATGCCAGCTCATTATCTGGGCCTCCTTCTGCTCCCTGGATCTCCAACCTTGCTGGACAGGCTGCATTCTGTGTTCTGGTGTCAGATGGCCCGGTTCCTCCTCTCGGTGGGGCTGGATTCGGTTGATCCTCAAGCTTCCATTTGGCTCATAAAACACAAACATCTGCTAGGGTTCTGATTGGTCTGTGGAAGGCTTCCGAGCTGAGAGGGATGGAGATGAGGTAGAGAGGCCCAGAAGGCAGGAGGGTTAGTTAGACACTGTGGGGTGAGGGAGCCTTTGTGGAGACAGAGCCCTGAGTAGCACAGCCCCCACCCCCAGGTCTAGGAAGTGAGAAGATAGCATGGAGTAGCACTGGGAAGCCTTCCTCCATTGCTCAGCTTCCTCCAACTGTTCCCTTTCTCACCAGTTGGCTATTATTTTCTAACGCATTTTGATAATTACTTTATCAATCAAGAAAGATTAAACAAAAGCCTAAAAATACAGCTG